ACTAGCAGCTGGGCTGGCCAGCCCAAGGGCCCCCTGCACAGTACAGAGTTTGGCCCCGCTAGGGGAGTTCCAGTGCTGTGTCACTCTGCCATTCCTGGGGCCACACCTCAGCTCCTCCCAAGTGGCCCCGGCCCGTGCCTGCCACAGCCACCCCTGGCTGCCCACTGCTGCCCAAGCTCCTGAGACAGGGCCTTTGTGATCTCCATTCTCCCCCCCTGGCATGCTGTCCCCACAAGCCTGTGAGTGGCTCCAGTCAGTAACCAGACGAGTGCTGGGGTTCCTGCCCTCTCCCGAATCCCATCTGCCAGTCTGGCCAGCGTCTGTCCATCCATCCCCCCAGGGCTGGGCGGGGTGTGGTGGTCCCCAGCAGCCTTGAATCTGTGCACAGGAATACTCCAAACCCACTGCACGCCGGGCACACCCCGGGCCTCGGGGGCGGCCGTGGGTGGTGCAGGACTGCCTGTGTGACCGAGGAGCCCCCACAGCGAAGGTCCGGGGGGCTCCAACGGGGCCTGGGGTGGGAGAGCAGCGGGGCTGGGGTTAAGTGTGGTCTTTCCCTCAAAGCAGTAGCCCTGTACTGATGCTACGGCCCGGCTCTCTCCTAACAAAGGCTCTAGTACTGGGGAACCCGGGCCGAGCGGTGGCCACGCCTGTCATCCCGGCACTCTGGGAGGCTGAGTCCAGCTTGGCAACGTTGGGACTTAGCCAGGCCCTGCCTCAAAGACTGAAAAGGGCTGGACAGGGCGTCAGTGTGAAGGGCCGGGTTCACCCCGGTACGGCAGGAGACAGGCGTGGGCCATGGCACTCTCGCTGGAGCACCTCTTAAAGTTTCTGTGAATCAAAACTGTTTCAAGAATAAAGTCTCCTAAAACCAAAACCAGAAAAACACCACGTACTCCACCAGCCAAGACAAGGCGTCCGTCTCCCAGCAGCCCAGGCTGCGCCACGGCGTCCCAGGGACGGCTCAGAGCCCGGCCTGGCCCCGGGAGCTGGCTCCACCATCCGGCTGCAGCTACCGGGCCCACGGGGCTGAGGTCCCAGAAGGAGGCCACACCTGCCACTGAGGTCCTGGAAGAGCTGGAGATGCCCGCAGAGCAATGCCCGCCTGTGGCCCTAGGGAAGTGGGGTGCGAGCGTGTGGCGTGACTGGCACAGGCTGCAGGCCGATGGGGCGGGACCCGCATTAGGCTCCCATCACCAGTGCAATTTACTCTGCTTCTCAAACGTGCATGGCCACCAAGACCCCAGGTGGGTCCTGGAAACTCCCCGACCAAGTTGGCTCTGACTCAGCTGGTCGGGGGACCTGCAGGTCTCCAGTGGTGAGCTTCTGGGGAGCTCAGCCACGCAGCTCCCCGCTGTGTCCCCCGCTCAGAGGCAGAGCCAGCACCCTGCTCCTGCCAGCCACGTGGCCCTGAGGACCCCTCGGCACCTCCATCTCCCTATCTGTACGGGCCAGCTGCTGGGCTGCCACCTGCATCAGCCTGACAGGCGCCAGGGGGACAATGCAGGTCAATGTGGCCACCACGGGTCCTGGGCAGAAGGACAGCACTGTGTCAACTGTTGGAACCTCCCTCCTGCGTCCCCCACCTGTTCCTGCGCCCACGAGGGCTCCGACACGGAGTGACTCCCGGTGGCTGAGCAGCGTCCCCAAGGATCCCACCAGCCGGGGCCACAGGACGCCCTCATGTGGATGTCAGGTCCTTGTGGAGGTCATTAGTTAAGGATATGGGGTGAGCTCAAGTGCATTATGGGGACTCTAAACCCTCACAAGGGGACGGAGACGGGGACACAGACACAGAAGCAGCCCCGTGAAGGTGGAGGCAGGCAGGGTCCCCGAGGGCCTTTGGAGACACAGCCGGCCCCGCCTCGGCCCGCAGGGGCCTCCTACAGAGCAGCCTGGACTGGGAGGGTGGGGTCACTGTGTCCCCCTGGGCAGGTCCACCTCAGAGCTCAGGTGAGGCCTGGAGGGAAGAACACCGCTGCCCGCGGCCTCACACCCCCAGGACTGCAGCCCCCGAGCCAGGCCTCCTGAGGAACAAGCACAGTCCCCGGGCAGGATGCCCTGGCTGGGACCCCGGGTCTGGTTCTAGGTGGGTGTCTGGGGCAGGTCTCTTCTCCTTTGTGGCCTCAGTCTCCCCATCTGTGAAATGGAAGGGTTCACAGGGTGAGCACTAGGTGACCTCTAGCTCAGAAGACCAACTGGCTGGCTGTAAAAGTGGGTACAGCGGGGAGAGGTGTTGACAGCCCCTGGAACTTCCAGATGGCCAACTGGGCCCCTCTACGGAGCAGCAACGTCCCAAAGGCTCCTGTGGCAGCAGCTCTCAGAGGTCCTCACCCCAGTGAATGTGCTGGCAGGGGTGGCCCTGGCTGCTGGCAGGGGACTCTGGGGCCCGTCCTGGTCCTGCTCCTTCCTCACTCTTTCCCTTCCCAGCACCACGAGGTGAGCAGCCATGTCCTTTTGCTGACTTTGGGATCTGGCTGACCGTGGACTGGAACCTCCAAACCCTGAGCTGAAATAAGCATGTTCTTCCCTAAACTGCTTGTCCCTGTATCTGGTCCCTTAGACTATTACGGGCCCTAAACCAGCCATCGAGACCCTCCCGGGCTGGCCAACCAGACTCCTGGATTAGTCACCTGGGGCTTCCCCAGCCAACTAATCACTGTTCCCCATATGGCTAAGTTGGACCCCTGAAACGGGCCAGCTGGACCTCCCCCAGACCAGCCACAGAAGGCCCCTCTCACTGGCTCAGAGTCCCCCATGCCAGCTGACCAGACGCCCGGACCCACAGGCAGCTCCCCTGGACTGACCGACGAGACTCCACACGCTGCGACTCGCGGCACTGGCTGAACAGAAACACCAAGTCCAGCTTTTCCTGTTCTCCATGCTCGGGGCACTGGAGGCGCTCGGGGTGCACAGGGGCTGCCTGCACAGGGGCTGAGCGATGGCACGACCCGGAGCCAGGCCTGCGGGGTCAGAGCCAGAGTCCCTGGAACCCAGCTCGCAGCAGGTGCTCAGTAAATAACAAGCCGGGGGTGGGGTGGCCCTGGCTCATCCTGGGATCACCTGCCCCGTTCGGGGACTGGGCTGGATGACAGGCTGCAAAGCCCCTGTGCAACACACCCGGAGCAGAGGCCTCCACACGGATGGCGGGACCAGTGGGGTGACAGCCGGACGGGCAGAGCCGAGACACGAGCCCAGGGAAGGGCCTTGGAGCCGGGCCTGCACCACGGCTGGGAGATCTGAGTGCCAGGGCCAGCGTGGGCTCTGTGGCAGGGGCAGAGGCTGGTGAAGCCGGGGCTGACAGCCCGCTGGGCTCTAAGCTGTGCACACCGGGGAAGCCGAGCTTCCTCTCTGGGCCTCTACCAGAGCTGGGTTGTCTTGGAGACAGGCGAGTTCATCACGCAGAGCAGCCTCACCCAGACTGAGCCCCCGGGAAGAATTAGCTGTTTATTATTATCTGGCCCCGCCACCCTGAGGTCTGGAATTTAACCCAAAGAAAATACACTAATAAAACTCAAAGGGCCAAGACACTCAACACGGCTTTATCCACAGCAGGGGCAGGCTGGGAACAGCCCCAAGACTGAGCCTGGGCAGAATCCTACAGCCAGGAGGAGGCAGAGCACAAGGCACAGAGGGCCAGGGGGACCCGGCATCGCGACCGTGGGCTGCTAAAGGCACGGGGGACAGTCAGGCTCCAGTGGGCAGGGGGCAGGGCTGGCCCTGGGAACCCTGGCTCCAGCCTGGGACTTCAGTGTGCAGGGCGCTGGGGCGGGAGGGTGACGCTGTATTTCCCAGAGGCCTCTGGGGTCTGCGGCATCCCCTTCCACCCCTGGCCGAGTCCAGGTTGGGCTGGGAGCAGAGTGGTCATCCCTGGACGCCTGAGGCGCTGGTCCCTGTATGAGAGACGCCTTGGCCCAGAAGCCAGAAGCCAAGGACGGGCAGAACCCAGGGGCCACGGGCACAAGAATGAGAAACAAAAGGCGGGCTGCCGTGCTGCAGTGGGGTTTTCTTGAGGTGCTGGGATTGAACCCAGACTGCGCTCACCCCTGGCCTCCTTTTCAGTTTTTAAACAGGGTCTTGCTAAATCACTGGACTGCCCAGTTTGAGCTGGAACTTTGGATCCTCCTGAGTCAGCTTCCCAGAATGCAGGTCATGGGACCACGCGGGGCTCAGTGTTCACTTTAAACGTCCCCCAGGCTCGCACGAGGAAGGCTTGGTCCTAGCACTGCTGGGAGGTGGAGGGACCCCTGGGAGGGCAGAGTCAGGGGAAGGCGCCCTGGCCCTGCAAGGGACACTGGCCCACCTCCACCTCCCTCCTCCTCCCACCCTTTCTCCATTCCGTGCCCCTCTCCCAGTGCTCCTACGTGACACACCGTGCCACTGCACACCCAAAGTGGCAGAGCCAGGCGACCATGAAGGAAACTTCTGCAACTGTGAACCACCGTAGATCTGTCCTCCACCTGGGCAGTGTGCTGGAATACTACCCAGCCCTGAAAAAGGCCGCGGCTCAGGCACAGGCTGCTGTGGCTGGGTCTGGAATGTTCTCCCACTCACATGTTGAAGGCGAGATCTCTGGGGCTGTGTTCAGGGATGGGATGGGAGTGACCGGGCCATGGGACTGGAACTTCACCGACGGATGCATCTACCAACTAGTTCACAACTGATGGCGCCATGGGGCAGCGTGCCGGGGAGACTCCGCTGGTAAGCGGCTGGGCCTTTGAAGGGACCCATGCCCTGGTTCTGTCTCCTTTCTGGCTACCCTGAGGCCACCAGACTGGGCACGAGGCGAGGATGGACCCTAGAGCCAAGATAAACCTCCCTCCTCGCTGTCTGTCACAGTGACAGAGAGCTGCCCCCACCCCACAGCCTGGAGAGCCTGACTCCATTCTGCGAGCAAGGCCCAGTCCTCAGCTCGGCCTGGCCTCTCCCCCTCTGCAGACGCCTCTTCCGGGCCTCCTGGGACCTCTGCTCCCTTTGCACGCAGTGGCGGTGGAGCTGTCCATCAAGAGGCCCCGCCTCCCCCGTGCTGAGGGGCGGGCATAAGACGCACTGCTCCAATCAGATGCTCCCATGGAGCTGACTCCTGCCCTGGCAGCCGCGGAGCTCTAGGTGGGCCTCCTGCAGGTACCTCCCTGCTCTCCACTTCCTCCCCCCTGGAGCACCCCCAGTTCCCATATGTTCTCCCCTTACCATGCCAACCAGGAGCAGTACCCACAGCTTGCAATCCAAATGCCTAAACCTGCCTGGAGCTCAAAGGCCAGGCCCCAGAGCCGTGGCTTTGATGACAGCCGTCATAAGCTGTGACAGCAGGGACACACCTTGCCAGAGCTCCTGGCCAACCTCATGGGCCTGTCAGGTCCCATTTTGCTGGCAGGGAAACTGAGGCACATGTTCCATGTATCATGGGGCGGTGCCCAGGCGGTCTTGGTGGGTGGGTGGTGATGGGACGTGTTGAGGGGCACCTGCTGGGGCAGCAGAGTCCAGTAGTCAGGCTGCTGCAGAGGGGCACAGTGGGGGCCGCGTGTGGCTTGGGTGGGTGTGGTCAGGTCCTTGAGTCAGGAGGCCGCTGGCCCTGCCACACCTGTCTCTCTCCCAAGCTGCCCTGAGCTTCGCTGGGAGGGGGGTTGGGTGGGACAGGAGGTTCGGGCTTCCTGCCAACCCCAGGCCGTTTTATGTCTTTCTGGAGCTCTCTCTCTACTCCTGGCTTGAGAGCCATGGGTGCTCCTATCCAGACAAGGACAGTTCCTGGGTGTCTTTGGGTCAGCACCCTTGATGTGCCTGGCTCCTCAGCACAGGCCTTTCTCCCCACCTGGGATTGTCTCTCTGATGGGGAAACTGAGGCCAAGCTTACTGCAATCTTCTAGTGGCAAGAGCCTGGAGACAGCCTCGGTGTCAGAGTGCCGGGCGTGGCCTCCTTCTGCTGGGCAGCAGCCGAGCCACCGGCTCGCCCTCCACAGCCCCCGACGGACGCCTGCCGTCCCCGCTCCCTGTCTTACCTTTCAGGCAGGACAGCTTGAGCCCCATGTCGGCGCCGCTGCAGGCCTGTGGAGAGAAGAGAGCGCTCAGCCTGGTGCGTGTGGCCGGGGTCCCCACCCGGGCCTGCTGGGCACAACAGGAGCAGGAGCACGGACCTGCAGAGGTGGCAGCGCCTGGGCTGAACCTGCACATACATGGAGCCTGCACAGGCAGAAAATCTCCCAGGCCGGTGCCCCACAGCTGAACACACCCAGGCCTGTGGGTGGGCCTGCACCCGTGGCCGTCAGGCCAAGGCTGGAGCTGCGGCAGCTGGGAAGAACCAACACTGCCCAGGGTTTGCTGGCAAGGGTCACAGAACAGAGGCTTGGGACAGAGGACCCCGGCCAGGCCCCCGGGGTGGGCACACCCCGTTACAACCATGTGGCCTTTTTCTCCCTGCAGACAATGGAGATTGGAAGAGCTGAGCGTGCCTGGGCCCAGTGCACGGGGAATTAGAAGCATCCCATGCTGGGCGCCCAACCTCCCTGTGACCAGGAGGCCTTAGAACCCTGAGAGACAGACCCTGAAAGGCCTGGCTGCTCCTGACCCGCCGCCCCCGCCCAGTGAGGTAGGCTGCATCCCAGACTGCAGATGTGGACAGTGAGATCAGCAAGGTGGCGTCAGTGGCCCCGGGGCACCAGCCTTCGGGGAGTCATGGATTGCACTAGGGGTCACCCTGATGCTCAGGCTAGAGCCTCGGCCACGCAGCCTGTGAGGAGGACTTACTTCCCGTGGATGGGGCCCAGTGTCTGGGAGGGTGCTGTGGGTTGAGTGGCTCTTTGAGGTCTGAAGCTGCTGGGTGCCAGCCCTTGAGCCAGGCCGGTGGGGTGCATGGGGGTGCCATGACCCCCCATGTGCCACTTGGGCCCTGCAGACAGGACTGCGATGCCCTGCCCGCCTGCCCTGTCACTGCTGGCAAGGCTGGCTTCTATCCGGTCTCCAGCCTCCCCACTCCCCTAAAGAGTTTCTCAATTATTCCCAGTCTGGCCTCTGAGGCCCCAGACCAGCACAGGTGGACACCAGGCCACAGGGCCCTACACCTGGCTCTGCAGGGGTCAGAGGAGCGGAGACAGGAGTAAACCCCCTCTGAGTCCCTGAGCACTGGGGGAAGCACTGGGCAGGAAGGAACTGTGTTCCAGGCAGCAGGCAGAGGCTGTGCAGGCTCCAGAGGAAGCTAAGCGGATCGGGCCCAGGGGAAGGACCTTGCCCAGGGCAGGGCCAGGTGGAAAGAAGCCACAGTGAGCTGGCCCTGGGGGCCTTGGACACCAGGTACCACACTTCTGCGTAATTCTGAGGACGCCGAGGGTCAAGTCTGCTGGTGGGGTGGGGAGTCTGGGAACCGAAGGAGTCCTCGAGTCCCACGCCTGCTGGCTGTGGCACGGCAGGGCGGCACCTTGGGCTCACCCAGAAACCCTCAGGGACACGTGTGCTGTAATAGCCTGGAACACAGAAGGCAGGCGGCAGGTCCGGGCTTGGGGTGGGGCTGTGGGACGTGTGCGGCGCAGGAAGAGCCAGCTGGGGGCCCAGGGGAGATGAGGCTGGAGCCCAGGTGCAGGCTGGGGCGCGGGTGGGCCCACAGGCAGTCAGCGGTGTCCCTATCACTGCTCTGAGTCGGAAACTATTTCAAGAATTAAGGGCTGGGCATGGTGGGCACACCTATAATCCCAGCACTCAGGAGGCTGAGGCAGGAGGATCTCCTAGAAGATCCCGTCTTGGAAACAAAAAGAGCAGGAGGCACGTGAAGAGGTGGAAAGGCACGCAGCCCAGAGTCAGAGCTCTTCCTATAGCACTCGTGGGGCTGGGCTCCGCCCCAGCACAGACAGACAGACAGACAGACGGGATGCAGCGAGGAGGCAGTGCCACCCGCAGAGGCTTGGTGACACGGTTGACAGCCGTGAGCCTGGGACCCGCCGGCGTGCTGGGCCCCAGGTGACAGATCGGGGTCCCACAGCTCTCTCATGATGTAAAGAATGCCTCTCAAGACACCCGGGGCAAGGAGAGATGAGTAACAAGTCGGGACCTGGGGGACAGGAGGGACCTGGGGGACAGGACGGGACCTGGGGGACAGGACGGGACCTGGGGGACAGGACAGGACCTGGGGGACAGGACGGGACCTGGGGGACAGGACAGGACCTGGGGGACAGGACGGGACCTGGGGGACAGGACGGGACCTGGGGGACAGGAGGGACCTGAGGGGACAGGAGGGACCTGGGGGGACAGGACAGGACCTGGGGGACAGGACAGGACCTGGGGGACAGGGGGGACCTGGGGGGACAGGACAGGACCTGGGGGGACAGGACGGGACCTGGGGGACAGGACAGGACCTGGGGGACAGGACGGGACCTGAGGGGACAGGCGGGACCTGGGGGGACAGGACAGGACCTGGGGGACAGGACGGGACCTGGGGGACAGGACGGGACCTGGGGGGACAGGACGGGACCTGGGGGGACAGGACGGGACCTGGGGGGACAGGAGGGACCTGGGGGGACAGGACAGGACCTGGGGGGACAGGACGGGACCTGGGGGACAGGACGGGACCTGGGGGACAGGACGGGACCTGAGGGGACAGGCGGGACCTGGGGGACAGGACGGGACCTGGGGGACAGGCCGGGACCTGAGGGGACAGGACAGGACCTGGGGGACAGGAGGGACCTGGGGGGACAGGCGGGACCTGGGGGACAGGACAGGACCTGGGGGACAGGACGGGACCTGGGGGGACAGGACAGGACCTGGGGGACAGGACGGGACCTGGGGGACAGGCAGGACCTGGGGGACAGGACAGGACCTGGGGGACAGGACGGGACCTGGGGGACAGGCGGGACCTGAGGGGACAGGACGGGACCTGGGGGGACAGGACGGGACCTGGGGGACAGGCGGGACCTGAGGGGACAGGACAGGACCTGGGGGACAGGACGGGACCTGGGGGGACAGGACGGGACCTGGGGGACAGGACGGGACCTGGGGGACAGGCAGGACCTGGGGGACAGGACAGGACCTGGGGGACAGGACGGGACCTGGGGGACAGGCAGGACCTGAGGGGACAGGCAGGACCTGAGGGGACAGGACGGGACCTGGGGGGACAGGCGGGACCTGGGGGGACAGGAGGGACCTGAGGGGACAGGAGGGACCTGGGGGACAGGACGGGACCTGGGGGACAGGACGGGACCTGGGGGGACAGGACGGGACCTGGGGGACAGGACGGGACCTGGGGGACAGGACGGGACCTGGGGGACAGGACGGGACCTGAGGGGACAGGACGGGACCTGAGGGGACAGGAGGGACCTGGGGGGACAGGACAGGACCTGGGGGACAGGACGGGACCTGGGGGACAGGACGGGACCTGGGGGGACAGGACGGGACCTGAGGGGACAGGAGGGACCTGGGGGGACAGGACAGGACCTGGGGGGACAGGACGGGACCTGAGGGGACAGGAGGGACCTGGGGGGACAGGACAGGACCTGGGGGGACAGGACGGGACCTGGGGGGACAGGACGGGACCTGGGGGACAGGCGGGACCTGAGGGGACAGGAGGGACCTGGGGGGACAGGACGGGACCTGGGGGGACAGGACAGGACCTGGGGGACAGGGGGGACCTGAGGGGACAGGGGGGACCTGGGGGGACAGGACGGGACCTGGGGGACAGGACGGGACCTGGGGGACAGGGGGGACTTGGGGGGACAGGACAGGACCTGGGGGACAGGACGGGACCTGGGGGACAGGACGGGACCTGAGGGGACAGGAGGGACCTGGGGGGACAGGACAGGACCTGGGGGGACAGGACGGGACCTGGGGGACAGGACGGGACCTGAGGGGACAGGAGGGACCTGGGGGACAGGACAGGACCTGGGGGACAGGACGGGACCTGAGGGGACAGGAGGGACCTGGGGGGACAGGACAGGACCTGGGGGGACAGGACGGGACCTGGGGGACAGGACGGGACCTGAGGGGACAGGAGGGACCTGGGGGACAGGACGGGACCTGGGGGACAGGACGGGACCTGGGGGGACAGGACGGGACCTGGGGGGACAGGACGGGACCTGGGGGGACAGGAGGGACCTGGGGGGACAGGACAGGACCTGGGGGGACAGGACGGGACCTGGGGGACAGGACGGGACCTGGGGGACAGGACGGGACCTGAGGGGACAGGCGGGACCTGGGGGACAGGACGGGACCTGGGGGACAGGCCGGGACCTGAGGGGACAGGACAGGACCTGGGGGACAGGAGGGACCTGGGGGGACAGGCAGGACCTGGGGGGACAGGCAGGACCTGGGGGACAGGACGGGACCTGGGGGGACAGGACAGGACCTGGGGGACAGGCAGGACCTGGGGGACAGGACAGGACCTGGGGGACAGGACGGGACCTGGGGGACAGGACGGGACCTGGGGGGACAGGGACAGGAGGGACCTGAGGGGACAGGAGGGACCTGGGGGACAGGACGGGACCTGGGGGACAGGACGGGACCTGGGGGGACAGGACGGGACCTGGGGGACAGGACGGGACCTGGGGGACAGGACGGGACCTGAGGGGACAGGACGGGACCTGAGGGGACAGGAGGGACCTGGGGGGACAGGACAGGACCTGGGGGACAGGACGGGACCTGGGGGACAGGACGGGACCTGGGGGGACAGGACGGGACCTGGGGGGACAGGAGGGACCTGGGGGGACAGGACAGGACCTGGGGGGACAGGACGGGACCTGAGGGGACAGGAGGGACCTGGGGGGACAGGACAGGACCTGGGGGGACAGGACGGGACCTGGGGGACAGGCAGGACCTGAGGGGACAGGACGGGACCTGGGGGGACAGGACGGGACCTGGGGGACAGGCGGGACCTGAGGGGACAGGAGGGACCTGGGGGGACAGGATGGGACCTGGGGGACAGGACGGGACCTGGGGGACAGGGGGGACCTGAGGGGACAGGAGGGACCTGGGGGGACAGGACGGGACCTGGGGGACAGGACGGGACCTGGGGGACAGGGGGGACTTGGGGGGACAGGACAGGACCTGGGGGACAGGACGGGACCTGGGGGACAGGACGGGACCTGAGGGGACAGGAGGGACCTGGGGGGACAGGACAGGACCTGGGGGGACAGGACGGGACCTGGGGGACAGGGGGGACCTGGGGGGACAGGACAGGACCTGGGGGGACAGGACGGGACCTGGGGGACAGGAGGGACCTGGGGGGACAGGACAGGACCTTGGGGACAGGACGGGACCTGGGGGACAGGCGGGACCTGGGGGGACAGGACAGGACCTGGGGGACAGGACGGGACCTGAGGGGACAGGAGGGACCTGGGGGCACAGGACAGGACCTGGGGGGACAGGACGGGACCTGGGGGACAGGCAGGACCTGGGGGACAGGACGGGACCTGAGGGGACAGGACGGGACCTGGGGGACAGGACGGGACCTGAGGGGACAGGACGGGACCTGAGGGGACAGGCGGGACCTGGGGGGACAGGACAGGACCTGGGGGGACAGGACGGGACCTGGGGGACAGGCAGGACCTGAGGGGACAGGACGGGACCTGGGGGGACAGGACGGGACCTGGGGGACAGGCGGGACCTGAGGGGACAGGAGGGACCTGGGGGGACAGGACGGGACCTGGGGGACAGGACGGGACCTGGGGGACAGGGGGGACCTGGGGGGACAGGACAGGACCTGGGGGACAGGACGGGACCTGAGGGGACAGGAGGGACCTGGGGGGACAGGACAGGACCTGGGGGACAGGACGGGACCTGGGGGACAGGCGGGACCTGGGGGGACAGGACGGGACCTGGGGGACAGGACGGGACCTGGGGGACAGGGGGGACCTGGGGGGACAGGACAGGACCTGGGGGGACAGGACGGGACCTGAGGGGACAGGAGGGACCTGGGGGGACAGGACAGGACCTGGGGGACAGGACGGGACCTGGGGGACAGGCGGGACCTGGGGGGACAGGACAGGACCTGGGGGACAGGACGGGACCTGAGGGGACAGGAGGGACCTGGGGGCACAGGACAGGACCTGGGGGGACAGGACGGGACCTGGGGGACAGGCAGGACCTGGGGGACAGGCAGGACCTGGGGGGACAGGACAGGACCTGGGGGACAGGGGGGACCTGAGGGGACAGGACAGGACCTGGGGGGACAGGACGGGACCTGAGGGGAGAGGAGGGACCTGGGGGGACAGGACAGGACCTGGGGGGACAGGACAGGACCTGGGGGACAGGACGGGACCTGAGGGGACAGGAGGGACCTGGGGGGACAGGACAGGACCTGGGGGACAGGACGGGACCTGGGGGACAGGACGGGACCTGGGGGGATAGGACGGGACCTGGGGGGACAGGACGGGACCTGGGGGACAGGGGGGACCTGGGGGGATAGGACGGGACCTGGGGGACAGGACGGGACCTGGGGGACAGGACGGGACCTGGGGGGACAGGGGGGACCTGAGGGGACAGGCGGGACCTGGGGGACAGGACGGGACCTGGGGGACAGGATGGGACCTGGGGGGACAGGACGGCACCTGAGGGGACAGGACGGCACCTGGGGGACAGGACGGGACCTGGGGGACAGGACGGGACCTGGGGGGACAGGACGGCACCTGAGGGGACAGGACGGCACCTGGGGGTACAGGCGGGACCTGGGGGGACCGGACAGGACCTTGGGGACAGGACGGGACCTGGGGGGGGACAGGATGGCACCTGGGGGGACAGGGTTGGACCGGGGGGGGGACAGGGTAGGACCTGGGGGACACCCTGACAGGCTAGACAGATACATCATCTGTCAGTGTGTCCTGGGCAGGGGACTTGTCTCTAGCTGCCGGGAGTTTTCAGACCGAGTGCCCCTGACCCCACCCCAAGAGGGCTTCTGCCTCCGAGGACAACTCCAAGGCAGGGCTGGGTGGCCACAAGGCTGGGGATCCCAGGAGCTGAGGGCCTAGGAGCCTTGAGTCCCGCCTCAGGGGTGCAGGGCTCTGTGTGGTCACCTCTGGGTGACAGATGCCCTGCTGCCTCCTCCAGCACAGATGGGATGCGTTGGGCCCACAGCTGTCACCACTGTGGCCACTGGGCACAGGTGCATCAGTGCCCTGGAAGAGGCTGTTCTGGGCCAGGGGTGCCCAGGTGTGGCCTGAGTCCCACGAGGCCCATGGTGGGTGCCCATTCCATTGACTCCCTTGGGACAGGGCTGGTCCCGTGGGGACTTGGCAGGCGTCCCCTGGGAGAGGCGCCTGCGCGCCAGGAGGCCGTGGGAGCGGAAGCTGAGGCCAGGCCTTCGCATGAACTGGAAGGCATGGGTGTGTGTGCCGTTCCCTTGTCCCAAGCTGTTGTCCTCAGTGTCCCTGTCCTGGGTCAGTTCCTGATTCAAAGGGCTCCCCCGAGCCCTGGTGACCCTGAAGAGGGGGAGGGCACTGCCCCGCTCTGTGGGCAGAGTAGGCTCATGGGGCACGGGCTCCCTGGGCCCATAGGAGGCTGTGACTCAGTCCACACACAGTGCCCTCCTGGGTTTCTCACCTTCGTGACCAGAAAAGAGTGGGAAGGCATCCTGGGGCCCCCAACTCCCTGGGCAGAGTTTGCCGAGTGTGAAAACCTCCTTCCCTTCCGCAAAGACTTGGGTTTAAGCACCACCCCACCCCAATCTGTTAATTATTTGCACTCTGGCTTGAGACTGAATCGGCTCTTTCCTGCAGCTGGGCATCAAAGCCAAACAGTCACAGGATCCCCTCTGGTGACAGGGACAGGCAACTGCAGGAACTGACTACCCGCCCAGCGTGACAGCACAGGCCTGTAAGCCTCAGCACTGTGGAAGCTGAGGCAGGAGGAGCTCAAGTCTGAACACCGCTTGGGTAACTCCGTAAGACTGTGTCAAAAGTGAAAAGTAAATGAAAGCAAGTAACCGTGGCATTCTGGTCCACACGCCAACCAGTGCTTGGAAACCACAAGCACGTTTAGAGGACAGACACTGTCCCAGGGCAGCGAGCTTTGCCAGGGGCCTCGAAGTCACACCTGCAAACCACCAGCCCGTAACCCCGGCCGTGCCAGGCTCGCCCTCGGCAGGTGTTCAGCATGACTGAAAAGCTGAAACATGTTCTCTGCAGAGTGGAAAGTCCTGAGCCGAGACGCAGGGACAGGAGGGTCAGACCCGCTGCTCACGGGGCATCCACTGTCACAATCCTGGCTGCAGCCCTCTTGGCCTCCGGGGCTGCTCCTTGGTAGGTGGTGCAGCTCAGGCCCTCCCTGGAGGGCGTCACCACAAACCCAGGGCCAGAGCTGGGGGTGCAGAATGGCCGGTCAGGTTTAGTTCAGGGACCGCAGCTGGTTACTGCCGATCCCGGGGTTACACTGGCCCGGGCATCCTGGTTTCTGTTTGCTGGGTCTGGCCACCCAGGGAGGTCACCCGAACTCAAGTGCGGCTGTCCCCGGGGCCTGGATGCTCAGGAGGAAAAGTGAGTGGCTGTCACCTTAGAAGCCCATCTGACCTTGGGCTCCGGGGCCACCTCCCAGGTAAAATCAGTGCAACCCCGAGGTCTACAGTCACCAAGGCACCTCACCTGGCTCCTACACAAAGAGCTCCTTGAAGGACCAGGCCAGCCAGAGCGCAGCTGAGGGATGTGACAGTCTGCCCAGCGGGGTGCTGCGGAGGGCTGAGGTAGGTCCTGGCAGGCAGGCTGGGCAGGGCCTCCTCTCCTGCTCCCTGACTTGGGTCTTCTAGGACAGGCACATCAGCTTGCCACAGGCCCCAGACCTCTCAGGTCCAGCCGCAGGGACCAGTGTCAGGCGCAGGGGCCCTCGGCTGCACACGGCCGCACGCGTGAGCACTCCACAGCCGGCCCAGGCCTGCGGGGGGCGGTGACCTCTCCTGAGCCTCTCACTGCAGGAAGCAAGGGGTATCCACTCCCCCAAGCTCCACCCACACTGGCCTTGGCCTCCTGGATGCCGACTGTGGGCCAGGACTGCACACCTGCCTGCAGGTCACCCATCAAGGCCCACAAGTGCCAGCGCCAGACAGTGGCAGCCGAGTGCATGCTGCCCTGGTCAGCTGTGCATGGGCACAGAGACTACGGCCGGGAGGGGCAGGGTGCAGGGGCCCGGGTGGGAAGTGCGTCTTGGTGTGGGCACAGGGTAACACTCACGCTGCCATGTGCAGGATACCCCTTCCTGATGACGGTGGTCATGGGTGTGCGTGTGCACACGTGCCCATGCATGGTGCCGGCATGGAGCCCCGGGCCATCTCGGGCCACACACCTGTCTCAGGTGGGCTGGTGAGGCCTGGCCTGACTTTCTCTGCAGACCACAGCCATCCCCTGCCAGCTCGGGCTTGCCACTTACCAGCGGCGTGGCCGTGGCTCAGCCACTTCACCTGCACAGCCTTCTGTGTCCCCACCTTGAAAATAGGGCGGAGGATAGGAGGGGACTGGTGCGGCGGAGGGAACAGATACGGGGTGGGCAGGATCTGGGAGGCTGAACACCCCACCTCACTGCCCTTGCCGGAGTCCCCAGGAGGACACAGTTCCCTCATGACCACCAAGGTGACCCACACCTCTGCTCAGGTGTGCGGCCCTGCTGGGTGCACCCAGGAGCAGGAGGGCGCCTCTTCAGAGATACTAGGCTGCAGCTTTTAGCTTCCTTGGGCTGGGTGGAGGAATTAAGTCTCCCCCTGAATACACAGCCTCCTTCCTGCCCAGAGCAGCACCCAGGGGTGGGGATGCCCAAGAGGTGTGCCTGTGGCCAGGGTAGGTTAGGGGCCTGGACAGGGAAGGGGTGCTTTCTGTGGTCAGTGCAGCCCAGAACAGGGGCATCCTGGAAGTACTTGGGGCACCATGCAGGAGACACCAGCCGGCCAGCAGGATGGGTGTCCCGCGGCCTCAGTGTCCCGGTCTGTACAATGGGACACGTGCCCAATCCGCACTACTCCGGGAGGGCCCTGCCCACAGCCTCACAGCCCTCTCAGACTTCTCCCTGGGTTCTTCCGCGGTGTGACAGCCAGGACCCCGCTCCCGCTCCCAGGAGCTGCGGGTCCCCCACTTCCTGAGCGCCTCCCCCAGCTCTGCGGGCTCAGCAACCCAGGGGCCGCCGCCCGCGCTCGCCCTTGGCTGGAACCTGCCTGGATGCCCGGCGCGGAGCGCGGGGGCCCTAAGTGCGGGCTCATGCATAATACATCGCGGGCTCCGCGCGGGGGCGCGGCCGCTCCTGGCCGCCGCCCCCTCCCCTGCCCCTCCCGCTCTCCTAACCCTCCCCCTCCACTCCCTTCCCCTGCCCCTCCCCCGCGACGCCTGGAAACGCTCGTGACGGCGCGGAGTCAGGTGGACCGACCGAGCTGGGGCGCGCGGGACACACCCCCACTTTCCCGGACGCGTCTCCAAGCCAAGTGTGCGGGAAGTTGGGGTGACGCCGGGACCGCGGGGGTCCGCCCCGCCCGGCCTCCCCCACCCTCCCCGGGCCGCGCCCCTCCGCCGCTGGAGCCAACGCTGCCCCGGGCTGCGGCTGGGGGGAGCAGCGGGCGGGGGTCCGCGGACAGGGCGGGCCCTGCCGCCCCCCAGGCGCGCTCGGGGCACTCACCGCGGACAGGGGTCGCGCGGGGCGGCCAGCCTTGGGGCCGCGGCGACGCAGAGGAGAGCGCCGCGGGGGTCATGGCCAGGCCGGCGCTCCCGGGCCGCCGCGCGCACGCCGGCCCCCGCCCCGCATCTGGGGGCGGGACTTACGGAGGCCCCGCCCCTGGCCCGCCCTCCGAAGCCCCGCCCAGCTCCCCGCCCTTCCCACGCCCGGCCCGGCGCCCCTGCGCGCGGCGTCCCCCCACTGGGTGCTGCAGGGGGCGCTCGGGTCCCGCCGCGCTGTGCTCCTCCTCGGCGCGCCACCTCCGGCCCCTAGTGGGGATCCCCCAACCTTGCGGCTATAGTTGGGAGCACTGAGGGGCTTCTGGGTGTTGGGCTCTGGCCCTGGTCTCCCCACGCACGCCGCAGCACCCCCATAACGGGAGCGAGCGGAGAGTGCAGCTGCCTGCAGGCGGCTCCCGGATGTGCCTCGCGTCTTGGGGGATTCCCGGGGAGACCCCCACTGCAGACCTGCCCAGCTCTCCAGGAGAAGCGGAAACAACCCCAGCGTGTTCCTCGTGTCGCGTCACAGGCCTTTGTGCCACCCCAACCCAACAAGCCCGGACTCTCCAGTCCTTGCCGCCAGCGTGCGGGAGTTGTGGGAGGGGAAACTGAGTCCCAGGACAGGAAAGTGACATTCCTTGGCGAATGAGGGAAGGGGCCACAGGAAACAGTGGGGGTCCAGGGGTTCTTGCTGGGCGGCATCTCTAAAAGCTTGGTGGGCTGGGTCCCGGACACCACTAAAACCAGAGATGGGCAGGAAATGTGCCGTCCCCTCCCCCAACAGATTAAGGGGGCGGGGCGTCCCTACCACTGTCCCCACCACGCTTACAAGGCTGGGCATGTGGGGGGCGAGAGGCCTGTGCTTGGGGGAGAGGGGAGCAGGTGCAGCAGCAGGCGGAGTGCGGGGGATCAATAGGCGGATGTGGGCACGCGTGGGCCGGCGTCGTGACTCCGCCGTGTGCCAAGGCCTTGGGCAACCCTGGGGAGCCGGAAGACCACGCTGGACTGCTCAGCAACCAAGCCCCAGCGCCTGCTGGGGTGGGTCCTGAGACCCTGAAACCAGGCCCCCCGCGGTGGCCTCCCAGGCCTGCTGTCCCTGCCTCCCAGGACCGGGTGCCCTTTCAGGCTTGTGCATGTGTGATTAATATTTATGCGTTCTGCTGCAAGTCCCTGCGCTTCTCTAGGGACACCTGGTGTCCCGGTCCTTGGGGAAGTGCCTCACACTCCCTCCAGGTCCCAAGAGCCCATTTCCTCCCGGGCTACTGGTCCAGGTGCCCCTCTGGGGCAGGGGAGGCTTGGGGCGGGAGTGTGGCAGTGTCCTCTGCCCGCATGGTGGGCACAGGTTCTCATCGGTCCGGAGTGCAGAGGAGGGTGCGGCCTTTCCCACTGCTGTGCTCTGGGAGAAACAGGGTTCCTGCATTCCACAGCATGGAGCGTGCCCACTGTGCCAGCCGCCTGAGTCACCTGTTGTGATGCCTGCAGGGGACCTGCCATTGTTAGCCCTTTCCCTGGTGTGGCACCCTGGCTTAAGACGGTGCAGGTCACCGGGCCAGTGATAGGCTCCTGGGCCCTCTGGTGACCACTGCCAGGGGCATCTGGACACCTGCCCCTGAGGCCTTGGGCTTTATGCCCCAGAGCCAGGCCCCTTCTGGCCTTGCCAGTCTCCATGGTGGGGCTGCCCTGTGCACCTCAGATGGCAGGCCCTGCCCAGGAGATACCAGCAGCACTGCCCCCAAAGTTGTGACAGCCAAAAGCCTCTCCAGATAACTGGGGTTGTCAACCCCAGTTGTCAACTGGGACGCAGTAGCCATTGGCTGAGAGCCCCTTCTCCAGTCCCCTTGTGGGCTCCCAACCTTGACAGCGTGCCAGGGCCGCCTGGGGACAAGTACAAAAGACACTACAGCTCAAGCCGGTGTGGTGGCACAACCTGGCATTCCAGCACTTGGGAGGCTGAGGCAGGAGCATTACCTTAGGTTCAAGGTCAGCCTGGGCTACACAGTGAGACCCAGTTGGCAAAGGGTTAGGGTTAGGGTGGGCCCTGGCATGCAGGGTGTGGGGTTAATGCTCCCCAGGCACATGGTGGCTTTGACGGCATCCAGAGCCCATCTGACATCATGTTCCTGTGGCCAGCTGGGGAGCTGGCCCCAGGGACGTGCTGGTGGGGACAGAAGCTCTGGGAGGAGTGGGCCACGTGACCTCCCCTTCCCTGCCACCAGAAGGTGTGGGGCAGCCCGGAGACCAAGGCTCTGCCTCCTGCATCAAAATCACCCGGGGCCCCAGGCCAGGTGACTTCAAGGTTGGCTGCTGCTGACACCTGACCCCAGCGTCCCCAGTCCCCTCCCTCAGCCCGCCATGCTTTGGCGGAGGCAGCAGGAGAGAAACATGGAGCCACCGCCAGCACCGACCCCGCACATCACTCCCAGTTCCTGGGCCCTCGCCGTCCATCCCCTCCCGAGGTGGCAGCCAGTGGGACTTACAGCCCAGAGAGGAAGGACTGCGTCAGAAGGAGCCCGAATTGTCACCCTGGCCCTGCGCCCTCTGGAAGTACCCTGCCCTCCACCCCTTGCCCAGAGCAGGTATCGCTTTGCCTGCCAGCGCCGGCGGGACCTGGCTGCCCCCTCGCCCACACCCTTGGCTGGTGCCGAGCCCAGCTTGGCTCACTCAGCACGCTGGCCGAGGGGAGGGAGGACGGACTGTGAGGCCCGGGTCTCTGGGGACCAGGGAAGCAGATGCCTTCCACGTGAGGAGGCAGATGCCAGCACCCGCTCCCGAAGGAGACTGTGCGTCAAATGCCACGCCGGCAGGAGCCCAGGGAGTTGCAGCAGGCGCTGGGCCTGGTGGCTGTGCCCAGGAGCCGGGTGCGCCTGGGCCTGGCTGCAGGTCAGGCTCGTCTCAGCCTCCTCATGGCTGCTGCTGTCAAGTGGACACGTTGGTGCTGAGTTGGTGGCTGTGCTGGGAAGCAGGGCTGTGGGGAGGGGCAGGCGTGTTTGCCATGGACACCATCAGGAAGACCCAAGCTCCACGGGGCCAAGGAAGCTCCACTCCGGTGCCCAGCAGTACAGGTGAGTGGGGGCTGAGCTGAGCAGGGTGGAGCAGGCTGTAACCCCAGTCGGAGTCCAGCCTGGTCAACTTAGTGACTTTAGGTCAGCGCTAAGGTTCTGGGTTCAATCCTCAGTAATGAAAAACTAAGTGGAGGACTTCCCGGCCACTGTGGCTCAGCCCCCAGCAGAGTGCCGCCCCTCACAGCTGCGGGCAGGCGCTGGGGCCCTGGGGCAGGCAGGCAGGTGGCGAGACCACCTTCTCCAGCTCTGGCTCCTGTTTGCAGCCCGTCACTGTGCATGTGCTTGGTCAGCTGATGGCCACCTTTGTCCCTCTTCCCACTGCCTGGCTCTGGGCTGGCCCTGAGCCTGGCTACCCCTGGCTGGGACAGGAATGGCCCTCCGTGGGTTGCCCTCTGCCTCCGTAAGCAGCATGGGTGGCTTCGGCCTGGATGTTTGGGTGTCCTCCTCCCCAGTCCGTGCAGAAGTCTGGTGGGGACACAGCAGGGCCTGAAGTGCCTAGCTGCCCCCAGTGCAGCCTATGAGCTTGAGGGAGCTTGTCGCCTGCTTCTGCTGCAGGAGGACCCGACGAGAGGCACCATCTCTGAAGCAGAGTGAAAGCTCACCGAAGGCCCACCCTGCAAGGCCCTTGGACCTCCAGCCCCGAACCATGGGCAGGAATTTCTGTCTTTTGTAAACTACGCAGCCTAAAGTACCTGTTTGAGGGGGCCGGATGGGCAGAGGCAGGAGGCTCCTTCTAGAACCCAGACACAAGTTCAAGCCACAGGGGCACGGGGGCAGACTCCCACATGAGCTCACAGCCAACACCAGTTGCCCGCCCAGCCCGTACATGAGCCAGCTCCTGGTCCAGCCCAGGTGAGCCCATCACCTGGCAGCAGGGCTGCCCAAGAGCTGCCTGGCCAAGCCTGGCAGTCCCCCACGTTGGCATCAGTACACAATGGCTATTGGAAGCCTTGGGATGCTTGTTACACAGCAGTAGGTAGCTGAGACAAGCTCCTATTAAATACCAAGCACAGAAGTGTCTGAGTTAATATTTTCTCTAAACCTTATTACAGCATTTTTAAGTTTAAGAATCAGCTCGAGTTGCAATTAGATGTCTGAACTATTTTAGATGTACCAAAAGAGCACAGAATATGGGAAAAGGCACACTGGATATTCACCACCCAGTTGCTGCAAATCATCAGTCTGCGCTATGTGTCTGGCAGTCTCCTTCCTTAGGAAATCCGGAAACCCTGGGAGCAACAGTGAGACGCTGGGGTGCCAAGCAGTGTCTACACAGGCCCTGGAAGTGTGCAGTGGTGTCTGCCTGGGCCTGGGGGGGTCAGTCGGGGGCTGGGGCTGGGGCAGCGGGCTGGGGTCCCCGCTCAAGGGCGTGCATGGCCTGGGAAGTCTTGCAGCCGTTCTTTTTCTCTTCTGTTTGGCAGTCCTGGGGACTGAACCCCGTCTCTGCACTGCACTGCACTGCCGCCCCAGCCCTCTTGTGTTTTATTCTGAAACAGGATCTCGCTAAGTTGCTAAGTTATCCACGGTGGCTGGAACTTGTGATCGTCCTGCCTCAGCCTCCCAGACTCCTGGCATGACGGCTGTGCCCTCCACAGCCTGAAAATCACTCAGCCACTCCATTCCCAGTCTAGGTTCTTTACCCCAAGTAGGGCAAGAAGCACAGGGGAGCCTGGGGGCGGGCACTAGCTAGAATCACCAGAGGAGCCCCCATCGATGCCACTGGAGACCCACAGGCACCGTACAGCGAGGCGGCCACTGTTTACCCCCCTGCGGAGGAGGCACCCGGTGTGTGGAGCAGTGTGGTCACCTTGCTGACCTCAGGCAAGCGGGCAGCATGGCCTGCGTCCCGTGGGGGGCAGCTGAGGAACCTCACCGTGCTGCCTCTCCTTGGATACTGCTGAGGTCACACCCGGGTGGCAGGGACAGCAGAGAGTGACCCCAAGAAGGCACAGCCGCTGCACCCTGAGGGAGAAGCGGATTTCCCAGCCGGTGGGAATGCAGGGCCAGGGTTCACTCCCTCAGGATCGTAAAACCCTTCTGAAGACACCATCATGGACGGGTGACAAGTGGCCAGATGCAAGAGGACACCTGCCTGTCACACATCTGAGAAGGGCTCGAGCCCAGAGCAGAGCAGACGGGGAGCTCACGGACCCCAACAGCAAGGAGGCGAGGAGGGGGCCAGGCAGAGGCCCTGGTTCCGCCCAGCCCTGCAGCCGCGGGGCGCAGAGGAGGGGAGGGCTCGCTCTCCAGGTC